TAGCGCGTCCTCCAGAATTGTAAACAGCGCGACCGCCGAACAACCGGTAAATAGCGAATCAAACGAGATTCGAGATATAAAACGCCGCGTAATCGTAATCGAGATGATTCGATCATCCACTCTCGAAAGAGAAGCAGAACCGATCTACCGCTCCCGACGGAGAATCCGATTCCAATCATCCACTCTAAGAGAGACCAATTCTACTCCGCTCCTGGCAGATTACTATTCGTCGATTGGTGACTGTAATCACTCCGCCGTCGTTACACGGATACGTGTCATCGACATTCGACTCTACTCCGCTCCTGGCAGATTACTGTTCGTCGATTGGCGACTGTAATCACTCCGCCGTCGGCTCACGGATTCGTGAGGCCGACACTGATAAGGTCCGCGGCACCGTTGGCCGCATCCAAAATCGTGTCCGAATGAGCCGAGCTCGTTGAGCCATAAAGGAAACTCCGAGAGCAAAGGTCCCGTGTACAAGGACCGACGGACGCATCGCATACGCCGAAACGACTCAAATCTCCGCGACAGGAGATCGAAGGGAGCGCCGCTAAGGCAATATCCCGCGTGCAGCTACGCTGCAATCTCAACGACCGCGGACATTATCCGATTCCGAAACGCCGCTAAAATTGCTGGAAGAAGTGTCAACCGCGCTTAAGAGACAAGACGCCGAAAGAAACGTCAACAGAATAGACTCGCGAATACGCGACACTGACGTCGTCCGCGTCCCGCGCACCGCGCGTCACATCACGCAAACCGGCGTCTAAACAAGCCTCTGTCAGGCGATACAAACAACCAAAACCAACGGCGTCAACACGTATTGTTCGATCTGTATATTGTAATTATTGTCAGCTTAGTATTTAAATATATTATTCATTATTATTTAAAAAAAAAACACTGTTTCTCAATTATTTCGCTTATCACGAACCCGACCCGACGAGCGATCCGAACCCGCTACGAATCGCGGTTACAAATATATTTCGGAATATGCAACTAATTTTCTTTTGCCGTTCGATCAAAAGATATTTCGTACATTGATGAATCTCATTCTAACTAAATAATTTATTGCTTCAGTAATAGAAATTAGCTAAAGTAAAAATGCTCATTAAAACTGCACCGCGCGCGTTTGAAATATTTACTTTCTACAATTACATTCAAATAGAGTAAAGATGCATATAATTTTTATCAGAATATTATATCATAAATATATACATTTATTAGTGTAAAAATGAAAACTTACACAGAATGCGTAACACATAAAAAATAATATGTTTCCTATTATATTTTACAGTTATGTATACAATAGTACTAGTACACGTACATATAGAATTTAGAGAGATGTAACGATTATATACGTAAACTCTCATACGAGAGACGTGAGTTCTTGGTAATTTTTTTATATGATCATTCTATGGGGGAGGGGGGTCAGTGAAATATTTTATTCCATTCTTGTCAATTATTTTTCCAATACATGTTACCATTTTTATAGCATTTTCAAATTATGTGTATATAATTATATTTTATATTTAAACTTATTGAAACTTATTGAACACTTTTCCATAAGAAAAATAAAAATTTCTCATAAGAGAAATAAATATTTCTTCATTATCTATTGAATTAGTATATGAAAAAAAATTTTGGTGAAATTAATAAAATTATTTCAACTAGCAAGTTTCAACTAATTCAAAATATAAAATGATTTTTAGATTAATAATTAATCATCAATCATTTTTAGATTAATTTTAGATTATTTTTAGATTAATAATTAATCATTAATCATCCTGGTAGAAATTTAATGCAGTTTTCGAGCAGTTATATTATTGAAATTTAATGCAATTTTCGAACAGTTATGTTAATTTTGTCTAATAACTGAAGAATGAAACTGCTTAGGATTTCACAATCAAGATTTTTCTGCAGTTATTACGCACAAAAGATGCATAAAATCTGAACTCATTTACTGTATGAAAACAGAACAGAAAATAGAAAATTATCCCATTGTCTAATAATCAAGCCTGCTACTCATGGACAGGTTTGGCTTAGTAGTGTTTTATTGTCTGTGCATGATTTCTAATAAAAAAATTTTAATGCTAATGCGAGTTATAGTACAGGAAATCTTTGATGTGTAATATAATATATGTTTTCTTGCTTTTTATACTTCGTTTACAATAATTAAATAACATATGTCCTTTTATTCATTCTTGTAGTTGTACCATTTTATCAAGTTCTGAGACTGAGCTATCATGACAATTTTTATTTGTATCATTAGTTTTAGAATAACCTGATATGTTCTCTTATCGCAATAAAATTCTGCATTATTAACATATATCTCACCTGACTTTGGCTTATTTTCATTCCTAACCTTAGTTATTTTTGTCATAGAGCTTAATATTGTCAAATGCCTTACTTTTTGCAATTTCCCTTTCCTTGCTGTATGCCTTTCCCAGCAAACATAACGTTACATGTAACATACATGTTAGTTGTAATTTCCTACTCAATAATATAACTAATAATGTTATAATATAACTTATAATGTTATATAATACGTATGTTATATAACAGTTACATTATTGGGTAGGAAATTATAACTAACATGTATGTTACATGTAACGTTATGTTTGCTGGGTTTCTACATTTTCACTTATTGTTTGTTCTTTTGCAATTTTAAGCTCTTTTCTAATAACATAAATGTGTTATGTTTATTCACGATAGACATTACAATATATTAATAAAACTGAATCAATATTATTGATATTTGGAAAAAATCGGTTCATATATTGTACAGTAAACTGTTTCAATCATTAAATACAGTTTGTTCCAGTTTCTACAGTATTTCGACAACTAATAAAAATGGCATTAATATTAGACAATAACAGAGCGAATGTGTATACAAACTGCATATATTTCTACCAGAGTAATAACAAAATTAAAAATGAGTTTGCACTATGAATAGGTTAGCAATTGCTTAAACATATCATTTTTTGTTGCAGCAAATGTGTTTAGTTATAATATTTAATTTTACTATAATCATAAATTTACTGAATAAACCAAACCATTTTTTCCGTGTGGTGGCCGACATCATGTTATTATAGGGTCTC